GTCCATGTCCCCTTTTTGTCAATAAACAATGTTGTTTATCATAAGTGTCGTAATCTTGTTTATAATCAAACTTCGTTTTCCTTCGAACACATCGATTGCTAAAAATCTGTTCAACTGTCGCATACCTCGAGCAGCTGGAGAATTAAATGGATATTCGTGCTATTCCATATGAATACATACCGGTCAAGTGGCCGAAACTAACAACTGTGGATTTTTGTGTAATCGGACTATAGATTGGGAAACTGTCCTCCTACACCAGACAGATAATGAAAAAACAGTGGTGAGGAGGAATGTGTTTTAGAGATGACCGCCTTATGATGGTTATTGTTATTGTTTTCTTAGGTCTATGTGCAACATGTTCACCGTTGGATGCATTTTCCTATTGTTATGTAATATAGTTTATAATTATTATTTAGTTGGTAAGTTTTTATTTTTATATTTGCCGATATTCTATTGTTTATCAGATATTGATTAATTCTTTCTTTCTTTGAGTAATTTACAAAGTTAGTTATTCTTCCGAAGACATAAAACGCATATAGTCAACGAGTTATTTTTTAAACATCAGATGAGGTTCGGTTCAGAAGATATTAGGTTATAAAGTGACAGTCAATCCCACTATTCGTTGGTAAAAGAGTAGCCCAAGAGTTGGCGGTGGGTGGTGCCGACTAGCTGCATTCCCTCTAGTCTTACACTGCTAAATTAGGGACGGCTAGCGCAGATAGCCCTCGTGAAGCTTTGCGTGATATTCAAAAACAAACAACATACTTACAATGTAGCCAACCAAATCCAAAAGCATAAACAGCCTGTTTAGGCACGCTCAAACATATAGCATACATTTAGTCTGAACATATAATGACTAGCTTCATGAATACACTTGGATAAGTATATAGAAACTGACTATACCTAAATACACGACATTCTATATATATTCTGAAGACAGTCCGCAGAGGGCAGAATATCAATATTTAGTTCTCAACTGTTAAAAGTATTTGATATCTTCATATGTTTTAACTTTTAATCCACGCTCGTAAAGAAATATGAATAAATGTGTTTCCAAATTATTAGCTGAATCAAACGTTTTTTTCCTAATGTATTTCTTAACAGAA